GGATATATTCCTACATCATATGTTTAAGATACCTGTGGCAATCGAATAGTTTATTAATTTGAACCATATTACAATAAAGGAATTAGCTAAATAGAAGAAGGTTAAGAAATATTGTGGGCAAGATAACATTCATAATCTAAGTCTTAGCCCAGAGTGTTATCTGAATTATTTTCAAATGGTAATTTGCTTTATACAATTCAAACTCATAGAGTGTAAGTGATTATTTACATGAATGACGGTCTTTCTAATGCCTGCAGTTTTAAAAGAGTATTATTTTGTTGAGATGCTGAAAAATATTTAGTAATTCCAAAGGCAAAATAACCAAAGTGCTTAAAAAACTTCTGAATGCTTATATCTTTCTCTCTATACAAATATTATTTGGTCATGGTAAAAATGAACTTAAGTAAAAACAAAACAGAAGATATGGTTAAATTACAAATCCAGTGTGCTATAATATAATGTATATTAATCAGTGATGGGGAAAAACCATATTTCCAACAAGATAGATGAAAGTGTATAGGGTTGGCAATCTGTTAAAACTCAGAGCATGCCCATCACTCAAGCATTCAGTAATACTGGACTTGTGGTACTTACTGCTACCTCGTGCCCTCCTCACCCATCCCCTGCTTCATTCCCAAAGACCGGAAAAATAGTAGCAAGAGGGAAAATTCCCTTGACAATATTCTTTATATGTATTGGATATTTGGGGATGGGGGCGTTCTTAAATACTGTCGTCACACATACATGTATTTGAATCTTGACTACTAGCTCTGTGACCTGTGCCAGTGGAATGATCCTGAGTTTAGATTCTTTAATAGTTATTATTATTTTGACCATATCACCTCACAGAGATGATGCAGTGATTAAATGAAATAATATATTCCAATGCCTCGCATATAATATTGCCCTCAGTAAGACATTATTTTACCTTGTTAATTTCCTACCCCCATTAATTTATTAAATATAAGCTAGCACATTTACCTGAATATAAAGGTCCATCTCCCTCTCCTGACATGAAAATAGAGAACTACTGTGGCATAGAGTCAGTCTAATATAAATAAAGAAGTTGGTTTATTTATTTTATTAATCATTCTGAGTCAAATAATTATTTTGCCTTCCTAGACCTGGCATCTACTGATTAAGGCACTTCTTACTCTCACTCTTGTCCCATTCTCTCTTTCCTTGTCCACTTTAACTGCCCTGTTTTGTCATTATATGCACTTTCTTACATATGCCATGAATCTTTTACACCTCTTATTTCATATTTGATTGGCAAAACTCCTGGCCTGCTTAAATCCATTTGTTCATTTACTCCCTACCTATGTTTATGACACTGAACATGATCAGAAAAAACATCCAGCCATACTTACTAGCATGTTCTAAGCTGATGACGCCTAAATTTAGATGGGCCTGTTGAGCTGCTGGGCAAGCGTCCACATTTCTCCTCTTCCAGATAATCAATGATGCCTTTTTTTTTTTTTTATAGAACCCTCTAATACCAAATCTTCAGTCTTTATTCTGAGTTCATAGAAGGATTCAGAAGAGCACTTTCGTGTAGTGACACCACTGAATCTACCCAGTGTGTACTTCTGGGCATATATACTCCATCTTCACAGCCGTGTCTGTGGATAAACTGGCAGCACACTTATCTGAAACCCACATCTCCACTTCTTTCTAGAACCCATCCTTCATTAATAGTCAAGGACTGTTGTTCTAGCAGTTTTCCTTTTCTATTATACATCTCTCAGAAATCCATTCCTGTTTACTCTTTTGCGTCCTTCCTGTTAGGATACAAAAATGCTATTATTTATTATATCTTTAAACAAGTTCTTTCTTGATTCCACTTCTTTCTTCTCTTACTGCCCCATTTGTCTCCTTCTCTTAATAGGAAAACGTCTTGAGAGGGTTGTTTATACTTGTTGCATCATTTTCATTCCTACTATTGTTTTGTGAAGCTGTTCTATGGAAACTCTTTTGGGGAAGGTCACCTTGCATGCCTCTAAATCCTGTGGTCAGTCCTCAGTACCCATCTTGCTTAACATATCAGCAATATTTGGCACACTAAGCCACATTTCCCAGTTGGCTTTCAAGACCCAGAGGCCCCTAATTTTCACACAAGTTGCTGATTTCTCATCACTATCCTGACCTTTTAACAGTGGAGCAACTTTGGCGCTCTTGACACTTAAGGGATTGGTGGAGAAAGAGCGCAAGATTGAAATGAGAAGAAAAAATCAGAATTAGAGATAACAATGAAATAATTATCCTGTGGAACAAAGGGAAGAGAGTTTTAAGGAGACAATCAGTGGCGAATTCAGAGCAGTGGGGTTAAGTGAGATGACTAAAATGTGTCCTTGAATTTGACAGTTAAAGGGTCAGTGGCACTCCACCCTACATGCTGTTAACTCAGAAAAGTTTCATGTTTTTCTTTGATAGCTAGATGAACCTTAGAATTTAAATCCAGGTGAGACTTCTCTCTGTGTCTCTTTCTCTCCCTCCCTCACACACGTACATCCACACGTACACACTACTCCTCATTTTATGGATAAAGGTAGCAAGGCCCAGAGAAGTTATGTGTCTTCCAGCAATCACACAGCCAGATATAGGCAGAGCAGGAGCTAGAACTCGTATCTTAAAATCTGCATCCAGTACTCAGCCCAGCACTTACTGTAAATGCAATTTCAGAGGTCTTGATTATCTGATTTTTCAGCTGACAGCAGATTAGCAGCCTCAAATTGGGGGTGTGATAAAGGCAGGCGCACTGACAGCAGTAAAAAGTGACAGCTGACTGACAGCTTGACAACAAGGGAAGAGAGAGATAAACTATTTTGAAAAAAATATATGGGAAGTGAAAGAACATAGCAGCCTGGAGCCGTTCGATGGCAGGGCAGGCAACTCTGCACATCAAATAGCCCCTGCAGACATTTCTCCATGGTTGTGCAGCTTGTACATCAAAAGGATGACTGTGATTTATTAAGAGAGATTAAATGGTAACTGTATAATCTACTTTTGGTAGAAATTAATGGCAGTAAATGGAGGCGTCAGGGTTCCACCTTACTCTAAAATGTATATGAGCCATTTTCACTTTCTTGTGCAGTTAGAATATTCTGAAGCTCAGGTGACACTTCACTAAGCTATCATTTTTGGATCTGCCAGCTGAGAGCTTTGGCACTGACCAAATCTCCATTTTCTGCTGGGGTATAGACTCCAGCTCTTTAGGTACAGAAGTATTCCAGGCTTATCAGATGATTAGTGATTAACAAAGCAGAGTTTACAGTGTTAGTACCGGAAGACAAATATGATCTCAAGACTTGGTGAAATGAGCCTCAGCAGTGGCATAGATTATAGAAGAAAAGTATTCTGTGTTACAGGATATAGAGTAGATTAAAAAGTTAAGGCAGTTTTACTGTGGGTTTCAAGAAGGCAAATTTCTCATGTAACTCCATGATGAGTAAGTAATGGAGATAGAAAAAAAAATGAAGGAATCCTGCAGCCTACT